AGCAAAAATAATTGTGACTGATAAAATCATGAGCCTAACAATTGTAAAACATCATGGATAACATACATAGATATGTGAGTGCCCATGCGTGTATCCAAAAATGCCCGCCTATTCACAAACATGCATACATGCAAAGAAATGAGGATGAATAGATGAGGGAATATCAGATTTACTGACAAGGTGCAATGGATTTATTTTCAAAATTAATGATATCAGATTCTACAGATTCTACATGGTAAGTAATGTTGCAATGGCATCTACTTACCATGTAGAATCTGATATCATTAATTTTGAAAATGAATCCATTGCACATTATCACTTAATCTGATATTCCCTCATCTATTCATTCTCATTTCATTGTACTTCCCCCCTGCCCTATAGCAGAAGCACTGCTATAGGGCAGCAGAGATGTGTAAAGTCATAAATATATATATATATACTATATATATATATGTGTTATTTGCATTCCCATGTAGGGGGCACGTGCGCGACACCCGCTATTGGCTGCTGGACATGTCAGTCACCGGGTCCCAATTGGCTATTCTCAGCCGGGACTCGGAGATTTTCATCAGACCTGACAGGTCTCTCTCTTTTCAGCATAGACATGCTGCTTTGTATTTGTGCAAAGCAGAGAAATGCAAAGCAGCATGTCTCCCTAGTAAAACACAACACAGCACAGAATGTAAAACACACACACAGTTAACCCTTTGATCGCCCAAGATGTTAACCCCTTGCTGCCCAGTGTCATAAGTACAGTGTCAGTGCTTTTTATTAGCACTGATCACTGTATTAGTGTCATTGGGGATGGCAGTGGCAGTTAGTCAGTTATCACCCAGTGTTAGAATGCCCACTGCAGTCCCGCTATAAGTCGCTGATTGCTGTCATTACTGGTATAAAAAAAGAAAAAAAAGAAAAATTACAGTATATATACCGTAATTTGTAGATGCTATAACTTCCACGTAAACCAATTAATATACACTTATTGGGATTATTTTTTAGCAAAGACATGTAGCAGAATTAATTTTGGCCTAAATTTATGAAGAAATTAAATTTTAAAATTTTTTTTACTGGATACGTTTTATAGCAAAAAGTAAATAATATTGTTTTTTTTTTTTTCAAAATTGTTGGTCTTTTTTTGTTTATAGTGCAAAAACAACCCCGCAGAGGTGATCAAATATCACCAAAAGGAAGCTTTATTTGTGGGGTAAAAAATTACACAAATGTCATTATGCACAGCGTTGCATGACCGTGCAATTGTCAGTTAAAGTAACGCAGCGCCATATAAAAAAAAAAATGGTCTGGTCAGGAAGGGGGCAAGTGGTTAATAGTAACATCCCATCTACTGGGACTACTGAGAATGAATCAGGGTCCACATAGCTCCATCTTGTGGCAGGAAAAAGGAACTTCTTTAAAGAATGTTACCATGACAATGCGTTATAAAACCTACACATTTCAGTTACAATGGGCCGTGTTACATGTATGTCAGGGTAAAATAATAATAAAAAAACATTCAGGACATCTCTGCAATGCATTTATGTTTCCCCATGTTTTATGCATTTAAAAATGCCACAAGTACAAAAAAAAAATACCTGTTGAATTTGCCTTAAATCTAGCCTACTGCTAACTTCCTGTTTGGGCTGACAGTATATTGCCTTTGCCAAACTGAAATATTAACCATATTGTATAGCAGCTTTTTTCAACCAGGGTGCCACAACACCATAGGGTGCCATGGCAAAAAAAATTTCCAAATTGCCGAAAAAATTGCCAACAAGTTGGCAGGTGAATCAAGTGTGAATTTATTGTTACACAAAGCACAGGATTTTATTGTTCAGCATTACAACTTTGGGTACAGTGCGAGCCACCTGCTTGTGTCCCAACAGCCAATGACATTATTGGTTGATAACGAGTACGTTGGGTGCCTACATAGAATTCTAGTTGCCCCTTTCTCATCCCCTCTCCATGACCACTGCGGTCAAGTTAACTTTGTGAGGGAGAGAAACTGAGGGAGATGAGACATGTGCTAATGTACATCTGCTTTGTAGAAAGAAATCATGTCTAATGTGGATGCTGCTGTATTATGTAAAACCATTAGTTTAGTGTTTTACATTTTAGAATGGGGGGCCACAAGATGTGCACAATTTTGAAGGTTGCTTTAACTGAAAAAGGGTTGATAAACAATGTTTTAGAGGGTGAAAGTGAGGCTTAAACTGTTTCTTTCAGCATTAATGCTTCCTATACACATTTTGTAACAGATTGTAATTGATTCTAATATGGGAAAGGTATGAATTTATTTATTCAAACTGATCAATTCTAAAAGCATTTATTATGAATTTTACTTCAATATTTAATTTTTTTTGTATTGTTTTGTATTACAACTCAAAAATTCATATTTTTTTATGGCTTGTTATATATGTTGAAAATGTTTTACTACTCTTTTGTATACAAAGGCTGCTAGGATGGCAAGTAAATTTAGTTCTTTTTTGGCTGTTCTGTAATCATTGGAGAGGCTATTGAGTTGTTTAGGCTGGTCGAGATTTCAAAGGTTGCAGGTTTGAATATATCCCCTTTCCTTCTAGAAGTTTCCAGAACATAGGGCAGGAGAGTTAAGTGGACAGCATGAATATTTATTGTGCATCAGCCAATTCCTGGGGAAATGTGTCCAGTAGGTGGCAAAAGAGAACATACATAGTTTGAGGTCTAGAGCAGCCATGTTCTTGTCCTGTTGCCCTTCTGAGGCAGTTCCATTGGAGTTTTCTGGTGTTCATTGAGGTCCCAGCTGTGGCAGATCTATTATTAAGTATCTTTGGAGCTACTTAAAGGATTTCACCTAAGGATCTGGTCTAGAAAGCGCTCTGAAGAGTGCATGTTAGAAGCTGGAAATAGAGTAGCTGCCCTGTGGCATTGTGAGCATTAACCTCTCCCTCACTGAAAAGCATCTGGTGGAAGATAGGAACTGTGCAGTTGTCCTGTGAAATAGAGATGTCTGACACTGGAAAGTGCTCAGCTGTCTTGGGACATTGCGAGTACTGACCTTAGCTCAAGATCCTGGTGACTGTGTGCGGTTTGACATTTGGAGTGATAGGTGCCACTGGTAGCTCTTACTAAGACAACTTTTACAGAGTCTCAGTCCTGGCCATTCCCCTTGGTCTCTGGCCTAAAAACTGTTCAAAGAAGTTTAGCCTAGTGAAGTGTATCCTCTTGCTACTATTCATGGTTGAATAGTTCAATGTTCTTCCAGCAATAAATTATAAAAAGACAACTCCTAGACTGTTTATTGAAGTCAGAAGTGAATGCGCTGTTGCTTGGGTGATTGGTGGTCTCTGCAATGTTTGGGGAAGAACCAGTTATCACTAGCGGCCCTTACTACGGTAGCGCAACATTTGTATTTCTGTTTTCTCTTTAAAATACTACACATTAGTTTTAATTTTAAGTCTCAATTAATGTTTTACTTAAATTATGTAGACCCAATCAGAAAAATCTCATACACCAACTAATCTACTAAAGTAGCTTCAAAAGTCATTTTCAGTTTTTAATCTGAAGCTTTTGTTATGCTTTTACGTACTCTGACAAAAGAGACTACAAACTGCCATGTTGATGCACATTGCACAGCCATGTTTCCCTGTTGTCACCATCAGGAAACCCCTTTGAGAAATGGTATGCAGTTGCTTGAGTGCTTGCATGTAGACAAGAAGTTGCTGTAAAAAATAATGCAATGTAGTATATATATATATGTATATATTTATATACACTATATTGTCAAAAGTATTGGGACACCTGCCTTTACACGCTCATGAACTTTAATGGCATCCCAGTCTTAGTCCGTAGGGTTCAATATTGAGTTGGCCCACCCTATGCAGCTATAACAGCTTCAACTCTTCTGGGGAGGCTGTCCACAAGGTTCAGGAGTGTGTCTATGGGAATGTTTGACCATTCTTCCAGAAGCGCATTTGTGAGGTCAGGCACTGATGTCGAACGAGAAGGCCTGGTTTGCAGTCTCCGCTCTAATTCATCCCAATGGTGTTCTATTGGGTTAAGGTCAGGACAGGCCAGTTAAGCTCCTCCGTCCTAAACTTGCTCATCCATGTCTTTATGGACTTTGCTTTGTGCACTGGTGCGCAGTCATGTTGGAACAGGAAGGGGCCATCTCCAAACTGTTTCCACAAGGTTGGGAGCATGAAATTGTCCAAAATATCTTGGTATGCTGATGCCTTAAGAGTTCTCTTCACTTGAACTAATTGGCCACGCCCAACCTCAACCCCTAAAAAACAACCCCACACCATAATTCCCCCTCCACCAAACTTTACACTTGGCACAATGCAGTCAGGCAAGTGCCATTCTCCTGGTAACCTCCAAACCCAAACACGTCCATTGGATTGCCAGACAGTGATGCGTGATCACTCAAGAGAACACGTCTCCACTGCTCTACAGTCCAGTGGCAGCGTGCTTTACACTACTGCATCCGACGCTTTGCATTGCACTTGGTGATGTAAGGCTTGGATGCAGCTGCTCGGCCATGGAAACCCATTCCATGAAGCTCTCTATGCACTGTTGTTGTGCTAATCTGAAGGCCACACACGAAGTTTAGAGGTCTTTAGCTATTGACTGCACAGACAGTTAGCAACTTCTGCGCACTGTGTGCTTCAGCATGTGCCGACCCCGCTCTGTCATTTTAATTGGCCTACCACTTCATGGCTGAGTTGCTGTTTTTCTTAGTTGCTTCCACTTTGTCATACTACCACTAACAGTTGACCGTGGAATATTTAGTAGCAAATTTCACGGATGGACTTATTGCACAGATGGCAACCTACCATGGTACCACGCTTGAATTCACTGAGCTCCTGAGAACGACCCATTTTTCCCAAATGTTAGTAGAAGCAATCTGCATGCGTAGGTGCTTGATTTTATATGCCTGTGGCCATGGTGATGATTGGAACACCTGAATCCAATGATTTGGGGGGTGTCCCAATACTTTTGACAATATAGTGTATATATTATTGCACACAGCAAACTAAATGTAATTTCACAATTTTCATTTTATTCTACTGCCTTCTGCGTCATTCACAATTTTCTTTCATATAATACTTTTTCATTTTATTCTACTGCCAAAGCAATTCAATAGTGAAATGTCTTTACTTTGCAAAGTTATCTATTTTTAGCACTTGTATTCATAATATATTAGCATTTCTTGTGATCTTCTATGTCATATGATATCTAAAAAAAATCAATATATCAAGAGCAAAAAAAGCTGTTTGAAAAGTACAGAAAGAACATATAATTTCACTCCCTGAGAGAAAGATGCTGTGTGGGACATGAATAGTATTTGTGTCTTTTGTGCTGACATTCCAGGACATTGTCGTGTGCTCAGGTGATCCGATTGCCTTTGTTTTCTGTACCAAAATGATATTTGCAGAGTCATGCTCTTTTCTCCCTCCTACTCACCTGCACAGACAAATCAGAAAAAAAAATCTTCAGATGGGCAGGTCTCAGAAAGGAGTTTAAATATAGCTCAGGATTCCCTCATCTGTCCAGATAGCTAGCATTCTCCTCTACAGACTAACCCTCATCAGAAGACATGAAGTACCTGGTCCTTTTTGCCATAGTGGTTCAGGCTCTGGCTGCTCCACAGGGTAAGCCTGGTAAGTATTCTTTGCTTAATATTAAGTAGCTGGCATCATTAATGCAATTTGAATATATTTCATACTCTACTTTACTTGAAACACAGACTGCAACAGGTAGCCAATATTCTCAGACCGGTGTGATCAAAGTAAATTGTTGATTTATAAATGTGCCTATTTTTACTGAAATCAGGATTTTATGTATATACTAATACTGTATATTTATACCATAATTTATATCTTGAACAACAAGATAAAGCTATTCCATAATTAAAACATTTTAAACTTGGGACAACATGCCTAACCTCTCAATACATCAAGTTATTATATTGGATAAAAGATAATTCTATGAATTGTATTTTGGAGGCAGCAAACAGATTCAGACTGGGACTCAATCCAGACTGGCTTGCTGACCTGTAAACTTTTTTGAAAGATTTATTTAAAAATGTTTAGCTAATAGTATTTATTACTATTCATATATTTTTAAATAGATATTGTATGTTTGAAGGGTTGACTTATACGTGCAAGAGCACAAAAAATGAAGAACTACTAGAACTGTTTTCAAAGGAAATACCTTTTTTCTGTATGTTTTATTATTTTGATTTTTCAGATGTTAGTTGTGTATTATATTATTATTATTACTGTCCAAGTATCTATTGTTACTGTCCAGGTATATTCCCTTTATGTAGAGTGGTAGCAGTACATTCTGTAGATCAGGCTGCTGGCTTCTTACTGGTGCTGGAACACACATGTATTCCATCTACCAATCCTTTACATGGTATAGATACCTGGAACAGAGCCTTATTTGAAGCAAATCAGTTGTTGCATTTTGAGCACTGCTGGGGGCTTGCCTAATTCCACAAAAAAAGCATAAATTCATGCATACCAAGAATGTTAGGGAATAGTCTTTTAGTAGTTAGCCATTTAGCTGCATAGGTGAAGTAAGCCCCTGTTAACGATTCCCTGGGGACATGGGGCAGCACAGTGGCTAAATGGCTAGCACTTCCACCTGGCAGCACTAGGGACGTTGGTTCAAATCCCAGCCACAGCACCTCCTGCCTGGAGTTTGCATGTTCTCCCTGTGCCTGCGTGGGTTTCCTCCAGGTACTCCAGTTAATTGGATCCTGTCCAAATTGGATATGATATATGAATTGTATATGATTGTGAGTTAGGGACCTTAGAGTGTACACCCCTTGAGGGTTAGGGACTGATATGAATGTACAATATTTATGTAAAGTGCTGCGTAAAGTGACGGCGCTATATAAGTACCTGAAATAAATAAAATAGATAAATAAAATATAACAGGATGGCTCATCTTGAAGGTCCTTTCAGGCTAACTAGGGAGGCACCTGTGAATGACATAAGAGATAGGATGTGAGTGACATTCATAAATGTCCAGAAAGTTTTTGTTAATATGGCTTGCAAGAAAATGGAAGGTACCACTTTATAAGATCAAGAAAACAAGAGCAGCCTTGCATAAAAAACAAAATGTCTTGTACAGGCCTGTGTTTGTTTAAAGGCTTTATTAAAAAAAAAAGACCAATGATTTTTTTGCCAGTGAGTAATATCCAGCAGTACAGTTACTAAAAAAAGGGGATGCTGATTCAGTTAGGGTAGCTAAATAATTGGTGGACTTCTCCTTGTTGTTACTGTTTAGTTACAATTTTACACAAAAAAAACTTCCCAAACTCTGCACTTTGAATCCAAAATTTCCCCTAGTGAACTCTCTATGGGTTGTTGCTGCCATATTTACCATCACACCCCCAACTATAGTAAATTAATCTAGTGAAATATTCACCCCTCAATACAGTGCTACAGTATCTATATAAATATCATAAAGGTAGATAATATCTGAGACAACTAAAAAACAAACTTAAAACATCAATATCTGTAACAAAAAGCCCAAAAGCAAGTGCAGTCCAATCCTTTTGTATAAAGTTCATTCATCAACCAGTGTGGTTCTTTATATAAACAGCAAAAAACATGATTCCAGTGCAAATTGACATATCCCTTCACCAGTTTAAATGATTAGCCACTCACCAGATAATATTGCCTCTCTTTGAACAGAAGACTGGCAAAAAAGTGCTCCAAACTGTTCTTCAGTATAGGCACTTCTCTCATGCTGTCAAATCCCCTATTATCCCCAGCATTCATATCATGAGGACAATGAAAATGAAACAATATATAGCATAGTACTGATAGATCAGGTATTTGTATCATAGAAAGCATATATATTCACTATATATATACACATCTAGCACAGCTGATCGTAAAATATGAGGACCAATGTGTAAATCACTCTCCATGCAAGTGCCAAAATTTCAGTGCAGATTCCACATTCAAGTATCCCTCCAGCAATTCAGTTGGACAGTCATTCACGATCTAATATTGCTTCTCTGTAAAAAAAAAGATCAGCAAAACAGTGCTCTGAATTCCTGAAATCCTGTGCAGCTGTTGACCAGTCTCCTCCTCTCACTTCACAGTATTCACATCATAAACTCAAAGGAAGATAAAACAATATATGGCATAGTATTGCTAAAACCAAGTGATATTTATTCAAGAGCAAATATACACACAAACATAAATCTTGTAAAAGGATCACAAAGCATATAAAGTAGTCTACAGGTCCTATTGGGATCTCTCCTAAATAGCAAAGCTGTCAGCTTGTCTTCTGGATCATTGGTAACCAGTCCACATGCAATCGACTCGAAGCCCTGCCCCTTTTCACTCATTCCCACAACCATTGCCCAGGGATTGTGGAGGTCTGTGGCTGGTGGGATTATCAGAATCTGTAAGCCCCCTTAATTATAAGGGGTGCCACCCATGTGAGTGATAGGGTTACATAGTACACAACTGATCCCAGAAAGTAAAATTAGTGGAAAGACAGCAATCGGAGCTGTCATTGGCTATATAATGGAAGGGAAGGAGAGGGGATAGTGGTGATATCATTGCCCAAATATGACCATGTGGCAATACTTAGGCAGTGATGTAAGGATCCATTCCCTGTCCATTTGCTTACAAGACCACGGATTTCCAGCCATGTAAGTAAACTGTGATGTCAGTGGTTAGTAGGGACACAGCAGGTGCAAGCTGTCACTGCTTCCTTAACAACTATTCACAGCCAGGATAGTGGTGACATCATTGCCCATATTAAAGCAATAATATAACCCACTCTATTCCCACCTATTCACTTATGTGGCCGGGGATTCCCAGCCATGTAAGTGAATGGCCTTGATGATATCAATGATTGATGAGGATTCAGCGGCTATTTATTTCTTAGCAACAGTTGGAAACTGTCACTTCTGTCCAAGTCAAATGCCCTAAATGTATGCAATTTGGACAAAAGTAAGAAGAGCCAACATTTTGCTAGAACACTAAGTTCAGCCAGGATAGTGATGACATCATTGCCCAAATACGACCGTGTGGCAAGATTTAGGAAATAATGTAAATCACTCTATTCCCCACCTATTCACTTATGTAGCTGGGGGTTCCCAGCCATGTAAGTGAATGGCCTTGATGATATCAATGATTGATGAAGATTCAGCGGCTGCAAGTGGTCACTTATTCCTTAACAACTGTTGACAGCTGGAAACTGTCACTTTCATCCACATCAAATGCCCTAAATGTTTGCAATTTGGACAAAAGTCAGAGGAGCCACCATTTTGCTAGAACACTAAGTTCATCCTTACTAAACAGCAGAGATGAAGAGACGGCATTGCACAGCACAGTATAGTTCTCTCTGGCAGCTTAGGAGGAAGGTCACTGTTTGAGCTCTGTGGGCACTGCCTGTCAAACCTTCTCCTCCTGAGCTGTCACTCAGAAACCCAGATAAATCTGTATCGTCAGATAGTTAGGTGGATGAGCGAGGCTATCAATTTCACACCACAGCAACCCCTGCGTGGATTTAGATGGAGACAAGTTCTGTGTTATATGTTTTATAGATCATCTTTACACCCCTTTCCTATCCCATGTAACAGTACCAGTACATGGAGGCTGTTGTAAGCTCTCATGCATCCTCTCTCCTGTTACAACTTTTTAGCTATCCATAGATTTAAGATGTAAAAATGGACTAAACCTTCAAAAATCTACCTAGATACAATGGCATCAACCCTCCTTTCCAGAAATGCTTTCATTCTTTTTCTTTATCTGTTGGCAGACAGTTCACTGTACTATGCCTTGACGGTAAACATACAGTTGCAAGAAAAAGTATGTGAACCCCTTGGGATTTTGTGGAGTTTTGCATGAATTGGGCATAAAATGTGCTCTGAACGTCATCTAAGTCACAACAATAGAAGAACACAGTCTGCTGAACATAATACTACACAAACATTAGATGTTGCCATGGTTTAATTGCACATAACATGTAAACATTCACAGTGCAGGGAGGAAAAAGTATGTGAACCTTTGATTTAATAACTGA